TAACTACTACTATATATATATATATATATATATATATATATATATATATATATATATATATATATATATATTCTCAAAATAAAATGTCTTTGACAGTCTTCGTCAATTTGGTTGGTCATCTCTGCTCATTATTATTTTTGAATTAGCATTGGATTGCATTCTTAATAACAGACAAGGTAAATGTTTACACTTACTGCAGTATAAATTAATTTTATCAATGCAAGAAGTGATAATTATTAAATGATTTCATTTCCTGCGATTTATTTAATGATATCCATTTATTTGTTATCACTTTGTCCTCTGATTTACTCCTGCATTCTGATACACAAACATCAAGATTGCTTTGATGTATATCACAATCTACTTATCAAGATTAATTAAAAAGAAAAAAAACTGATTGGATTCTACCCAATCATTTACAAAATTAAACAAAATTGCATGAAACGTTTGGGTAAATTTGAAAATAAGAAATAATGTCATTTCATCAACTTATCGTCAAAATCCAAAAAAATTAACTTAAATTTCATAACTTCAATTTCTCACATTCCTGCGCATAACAGAGCATAATTAAAATTAAACGTAGACGGTGTAACTATAATTACAATAAATAAAACTATAATTATTCAATGAAAATGTGACATTGAGCACATATTGTCTCGACGAGAAGCTGTTCAAACGTATGGATACGACGATGCAATAGCATAGCGCAGCAGTAATCAAGACACCCATATCTGCAGTTTAAATAGATCAAGTTGACATCAATGAAAGCGTTTTAGATATTTGAATAAGTTATCTTTTGACTTTTTGAATTGCCATTTTTTTATATTTTCTAATGAAAGTCGGAAGCATTCTCAGTAATAACATATTCTTCTTGGAATTTTTCTCGCCATTTTTATCTCTTTTGGAGTTCAAAAAGAATTATGGAAAATCCAATATCATATGCTAATATCAAGAAGGATATTTTATCCATTGATCCTGAAGGCTTTTTATTGCCATATCCCTTTTTATCATATCTTCCCAAAGAATTCCTTTAGTTATTTCAAAATTCGAGTTATGAAGTTTAGAAAATAAAAGGTTACCAACCAAACAAAAGAGGAGCACAGAGAATAGCAGACATCATTTATTCAATAATTTATGCTTTTAAAATAATCGGCAAGAGCTCCCGTTGTTTTGCTGCATTGTTCTGGTTGTACGCCACCTTCATATATTGAGATTATCACTGCTGAAGAATGGAATTGTGATCATCTGAGAAATATTTTCAATTGTTACTTTTCCCGCAGACAATGGCATATGGGGAAGTAAGAGAGAACTTATTTCCAAGAGGTTTAAATTACCAACAGGATTTAATCTACAAAGATAGAAGGATGAAATGGTAACAGTTGGCTACCAATGAATTTTTCAAAGTGGTTTTGCTGAGTTTTTGAATTTTCTCTTTGTGCATTTAACGGAATGATTTGTACAGTAAGTTTCATAAAATTCGTATAACATTTCAGTATGGCCATTAGAACTGCGCATTTGATGAGATATATAACGAGTAATTGTTTACCTTGTCCAGTTTTATAGATGAAAAACCCGGTTGATCCTTTTTTACCAATGATTCTTTCATCATCGGCTTGTAGCACGAAATATTTCTCTCCCTCAAATTTCATACCCGTTCCCAATAAGGCATCCTTATTTTTGGAATCCTTTTCCGGCTGCCGCAGCTTCTGTTGCATCTAACTGAAATTTAAATTTCTGATAGTTTATCATTAATTTATTTCCTTATTTATTAAATCTTTTACTTCGAAACATTTCATTTAGCGATCATTTTGTTTATTTACATTGGGGGTAAAATTATGAAAAACTTCCTTAATTCATTTCCTTTCTTTCTTCATTTTTTACTTTTTTATAATTTTTCCTTATTTCTTTCTTTTTCTTCGAAACAAATTTTACTTTTTATGACAATTTTCCAGTAGGACTAAATCCATTAATAACCAGTAATATTTAAACAATGATGTCTCCGGTGACATTTTTTCTCCCAATGATAACTTTTTGCATTACAACTGTCATTCAGACAGTTCAAAAGCTGTTACTACCACCTTACTTCCAATTCTTTCTCTCTCGAGGTATCTATCCTCCACTCTTTGTCTAATAGGATATTGATTAGAGACAGTTTCACTGGCGATTTTTAATCCTTCAATCTCTTTTGTAGTTAATGCACGAATCTTTTTTAGCAACCCTGGTTTAAGGAGTTTTTTTCTCCCATTGATTTAACCTATAAATCAAGCTTATCAAGCTTCGCACACAAGTTCATAATTTAACAGAAAAATTAATTAGCAATAAATAATTTCCATATTTCGACATGTTAAAATGATCGATTCTCATGCTACGGGCAATAGTGGAATTTTATGAAAAGCATGATGTCAACGATCAAAGACGATCAGTGAGATCTTTCTTGCAAGTATGACACAATATGCATGATATATTTTGTAATCATATAGCTTCTTAAAGAATTTTTTCCTTTCCGAACTGTACTATGCATCGACACTCAGTTTGTATTTACAACAAGGTAGAATTTGCAACAGTTAACAAACTCTGCATTAGGAATATTTTTTAAAAAATTTCTTAAATTCATGCTTACCTTGAAATTATCTGACTTTCCCCAAATTGACCCATCAAAACCACAAATTGCAGCTTTAGAGACATTACCGGAGCCGACCAAATTGCTGTTGACTAAGTCTGCCCAGGACATTCTTTAAACTTGTAACAGGAGATAATACGAAGGCACAGAAATGCTGGTAAGAGAAGAAGGGTGATTAACTGATCAGTTCAAATTTACAGGAACGACTACTGTTACCTGACTGTTAGCTGAAAAAAAAAGAATTAATTCGAAAAGATACAAACTTATTCCACACTGAAACGACAATCAACTGAATATGAGTTTCTGCCACACATTCTTAGCATTACTGACAAAACGAACTCACAAACAGCGCTGCTCTCGAACTGCCAATAGATAAGAGTAATAGATAATATGAATGCTAAAAGTAACCGAGAGATTCTCGAGAATGCAATAGTCGATATGCTTCCTGTAACATTCTTAGCATCACCAGGAAATTGTTTTACATAAAGAGAAATTAATATATTGAGCAATCCAACGCAATACCACTTCCAATTATCCAGTTCTCATATACTTACTTAAGTGCAAACTTTATTTTTTTCAGAAAGGCATTTTAGATTGATGAGAGAATTTTGATGAGGAAGAGAAAGATGAAGGATTAGAAGATGAATCAAAATTTACAGCAGGAGATATATATATATATATATATATATGATAAAATGAATTGTTGAACTCATCTATTTGGAACAAAAAATCGGGAACGAAAATTTCATGAGAAATTCAATTTTATGATGAAAATTTCATTACTACCAGAGCAATTCCTAAATATGCTTGCAGAAATGAACAAATATATAAGAAGTAGGAATTTCTTAAGTATCAGCACTTAGTCTTTCAATTTACTTACAGGCTCTACGATAGAGTAAGTCAATAACGGATGTGAATAATTTCAATTTAAAAATGTCAATCCTAAAACCGTTGTATAATCGATGAGTGAGCGCTAAATATAAATTTTCTGAGACATAAGAAATGTATATGCACTTATAATTGTTTGATGGATAAGATTCAATTTTCAAAACCTAAGGAATCAAATTTGATGCTTTATTACAGGCATATATGGATGACTTCTTTCCTCAAAATTCATCTGAATTATAAAGAGAAGATATTTTATTTGTCTGATAAAATACATGTTTTATTTAGTGGTAGCAGTTACTATAATATTTGTTAATCACACATAGAAATTATCGGGCCTGACTCGGGTCGCAATCTTTCACATAGTATGTTATCGTCAAGATATATCGAAAGGTAGGATTTAGTTGAACTTTCATGAAAAGTTGGTCATCTATACGATAGAAAAGTGTCAAAAGAAATGCGCAGGTATTTATTTGACAGAAATGGATGAAACTTCATTTTGAATTTCGCTTCCAAAAGTGTTTTTTTTTAAAAAATTATTTGGATGATAACTTCAATTTTTATGACATAAAGTGGTTGGTAGAGTAAGTGAAACAGCTCTGAAAAATTCATAACGAACTGAAAAATCTCAGGAAGAAAAAATCTGAATGATGAAAAGCATTCCATTTCAAAGACGAAAGTGCATTTCAAAATAAAAGAGGGAAAGGAAGGACAGAGAGAAAAGATACTATTCCAGCGCAATTGTAAATCGTTAAGCTTTTCTCTTTTCAGTAACTAAAAACCGGCAACTTTTGCCAGAAATTAATACCAAAATTTGAATTTGTGATTTGTGATTAATGAGATATCAGAAAGTCCTCACTTATCATGCCTACGGAAAAATTCCAATTTTCATTTTTGAATGCTTTCAGTGAAAGACTGATTGCATGTCTTATATTCAGCGCTTTACGATTAATACATTTCTGGAAACTCGAAGAAGCTGAATATATGACACTTTTTACATACCGTATAATTCTCAAAATTATCTACGCAATTATCACCACTTGGCAAAGACAATTTGGAATATTCAAAGTTGCACAATCACTTTTATCAGTAATATAAGTTTATCAAAAGCATTCAGTGTAGAATGATAACTCCTCCTGTTGACATGAAAGGAAACGAGATTTGAGTAGAGTTTAAAGGAATTTTTGTCTATCTGAGCCGGAGGTTAGAGGTTAAGCCTGAATTAGTTGTATCTGGACCAAAGTAAATTTCAGTACTTGGCATATAGACAGAGAGATGCACGTACAATGAAAGGAAGCGACTATGATTGTTGTAGTAGTAATAAATGAATGAAGCAGTAGCAGTAATTGGTCGAAGAAGCAGCTGTTCCCTTAATATCATCAGCTCTTCTCCTCCTCCTCCTCCTCTTCCTCCTCTTCCTTCTCTTTTCCTGTAGCTTTGAGAGGATCTTCCTTCGCTTCATACATTCTAAACTTTGTGGTTCATCCATCTCTTTATTGGCTTTGCTGGAGAAGTATGAACAAATCGGAACACTCAATCCAACGTGTCCCACAATATTAAGGGAATGAGGTCATCCTTCCAACAACAACGCTCTTATCCTCTCTTTCCTCAGTCATCTTTATTTCCTACTTCCTCAGTTCTCAACAATTCGTTATGTATATATATATATATATATATATATATATATATATATGTGTCTCTGTCTGTGCGTGTGTGTGTCTGTGTCTGTTCATGTCTCTCCAAATATCCCGAAGTCTTGGATTGGCATCATTAGTTACCTAAATTTGTGGTTGAATTTTAAAGAACTGTTCGAATTTGTGAGTTACAAACAGTTAAATTTCAATTTTATATGATCAATGTACAGAAATGCAGCACTAATTTCTGTTAAGCCATTTCTAAAAAACATTGAAAATTTGAAATCAAAAACAAAACATTGGAAAATTTCTCAAAAAATGCTTCTAGGAGAGAAGGATAGAAAGTTATTTCAACTCGTCCAGTTTTTGTAGAGTATCATCAGATCGTGAAACGCCACTGACAGGTGATGCAACTTCCTCCTCCTCTTCTTCCAACATTAACGTGATATTGATCTACAAATCTTGCTGATGATATGATACCTCAGAGACGATCTATGACAAAAATATGGTCAGGCAAAGTGAAACAATCAGTAGTGGGTAAGAAGATGAAAAGTTGGAGGAGATGAAAGAATGTTGTGAAGGACGACTCTTGGTGGATAAATCTCCGAAGAAGAGAAAGCTCTCGTCAGTTGCTCAAGCAGAAAAATCGATACTGGCCTACGATGGAACGAAATCAGCTTTTTTTTTTCCTGTATTCCAAATCGATCTGAAATCATCCGTCCGTTCACGTTACATGTCTACCTTCCCAGACGTATGACATTCAGACATAACTAGCCTTCTTTTGTCATCCCTATCCTTCTTAATGGTATCAGTTAAGGAAGAATTCGAATTTCCTGAAGTTTCCAGTAAAAGATAAAATTCAGTTTTATTCTATTTTAATATTTAATGAAAACTCCCATAATAAAATAAAAATATTTTAGATATTGAAGATGAAGCTGTTGAAACTGAGTGGATTAGTAATAAAAGGAAGATGCAAAGAAATTTCATTAGCTATTTTAGTGTAAAAAAATGTGTGTAATTGTTTAGAATGATGTAGCACTGTATGTGTAAGTTCAAAAAGTAATATTCCTTTAACTGTACTAACCCCAGGACATCACAAATATTTCTAATGACCTCATTCTATGATTTGCAAAAGTATTACCTAATTTGTTATAGGAAATTTATGGTCAACAGAGGGACAAATTTCCATAGGAGGGAAACTGCTTAACTGCGCACTTATCATATTTTTGATCTTTTGATAACCTCAATTTTAACAACTATCATGCATTTGGCAACTTCACTCCAAAATACTAGTTAGCTAATAATATCTATCTATCCATTTAATAATAAGAAACAACCAACATGTTGATACTTTGACAAACGTGTCATCACAACATAACCTTATACCTCATCTTTGATCGTTTTGATTCCCATTCGAGTATTCATATCACTCTTTTCATTTTTATCAATCACAAATTTCTCATCCGATGCTTTTGATTTCGTTAAATGCGTCGCACTGAATAGAGCAAGAAAAAATTCTTTATAATTGCATCGATTTCTATTGACATTGCTATATTTCTTTGCTTCAAATGGTATTATTTGTTCATGGTAAGAATCACGATCATCAGTTATAGCTAAGTTAATAACAAGCTAAGTTGTTAATTACAGTATTAGAAATGCTAATGATTAAATCATAATTAGCAGATGAGTCAGAATTACTGCAACATTCCTGTATAAAGCATAAATAAACATAACCGGATGAAAAATGAATATGCGCTTCAATCTATCAAACAATAAAAAATAGTTGACAGTAAGATGAGAAAGTTCAAATGACCATTCAAAATTTACGACTCACAGTCGACTGAATTTCAAAGCATGTTCACCGTTGGGCTCCCAATCGTAAGGATCAGTTAAATTGTGATTCTCCTTTTTTAAGATCTGTTTGAGGAGTGACTGTAATAAATTGTAATCTGAAAACGACATTTCGCACTTATCATTATGAAAACATTAATTTTGAATGATTTAATTAGGTTTAACCTGACATATAGCACATAAAAAATGAATAGATAATTGGCATTTGATATTGAAATTATTTACAATACCTGGTTTATGATTGTAATTCAGTTTTTTAAGATGCTTTAAGAAAACGTGAAATTCCATAGGTAAACGAGATATGAGTTTTTCTTCAGACTTTGTTTTACAAACCTCAGCATGCGATCGATCCATGTTACGCCTCAAAATTTCATTAGTAACCTTTCGTTGTCATATCATTGTTAATGATAAAATATTACTTTTAACTCCTTTTTATTGGAAATATATCAATATTAGTAATTATTTAATAATAACGGTGTGGTAGTCATATGAATAATGACATTAGTAATAGTGATTTCAAATGGTAGTAATGATAACAGTAATAAAGAGAGGGAAAACAGTAAGAGAGGAATTTTGAAGAGAGATATTAACAGCAAAAATTTATTTTAATGGGTTATACCACGGCAAAGTGCCAAGTATCATTTCGGCAGTCATATATAAAAGCGACCATAAATCATCATGACGTCCTTGCTCTTCATGACGATGGACGTTTATCGAGCAGTATCGAATCGTACCGCGAAATGGTGCCGTTTTACGTGGTTCACGTAGTTTAGTGTTACCTTTTTCATCATATATCTTAAATTAATTAAGAGTGAGAAAGATGGAATCGGTTGAGTAATTTAGATATAACCTAAGTTTATAATTGCAATTGGACGGGAAATAATCAGGCATATAGTCTGATTTAACCCATTGTTTTAATTAAGGCAATTAGTCAGTCTATCAAGTATGCAATTAATTAATCAAGTAATCAGACGCCTGTTTACAGATGGTACAGAAACATTATGACGAGTTTTTCTTTTCTTTTTTTTAGGCCAACATATTAATCGAAATTCTGGGTTCCTAAATAGATCCAGAAAGATCGTATCGTCAGTGTGAAACGAACATAGTATTGTCTGGCAAGACCGAAATCAAGCATGAATACGGTATGCATTACTGATGGTTTACGTCCCATTGCAAAATTTGACGGTTTCACATCTCGGTGGATAAATCCGGCATTATGTAAATCTTCAATTCCTTCCAGACATTGCATGCATAACTTCACTGATGTTGACAACGTGAAACGCTAAGAAAGCCAATATTATTTCGCTATCAGAAGTTTGGAAGTTTATGGTGCGCAAGTTGCTGAGCCCGGGCCTAGTTTGCGAAGTTTTGAATGCCCAGTCCTTCCAGCCTAGTTATTTCTTATTTATAAGAAGATGAATAAACATGAATTAGTGGAATTTCGAAAACAAAGATTTTCAGAAACTTTCTAATTTTAATCCCTGCGTTCAGTTAGTATCCTACAAGTTCGTTGTAATAAATAAACATGTTACAAGACAAACCTGATTTGGACAGTGCTTCCGTAATTCACTTAATGATTTTGATAATAAAGTCATTATTAGAAAATAATAATTTTCACCCTAAAGTAGGATTATTTGCAGGAAAATTTGAATTCATTTGATACTTTCCACTTTGTTCAGATATTTTAGTATTAACACTATAAAGATAACATTGTCTGATTAAACAAAGATTAATACCTTAGGATGAATGTAAATGATCTGATGCATTATCGATAAGGAATGAGTGCATAATCTGAATTATAAATTCAAATTATGAATTCACTGCGATATTTTTCAAGAAACTGCTTTTTCCTGAAAACTTCCAACGGATTTTTTGACTTATCATCATCACCTTTCCAGCTGCATAAATTTTGCATGCATGCTTTGATTTGTCCAGCTTTTTTAAAACATGTACTTCCATTTTCAGTATTTGATCGTCGTTAAGCATCCCAACAGGTTCGGTCTTCATAGCTGCCATTTGGACTGGATTTTGCATATTAACCACCTGGAAAACTAGGCCATAGCCACCTTCTCCAATTCGGCGTAATATCTGCAGTGTGATAGTACAAAACTGGGAGTTTGTGACGACCATGACGTTATTGATTTCTACCAAATTATCTACCAAAATTTGGAAAATCTTGAAAAACATTTTTAAAAATTTTCAACTCTTTATATTTGAGAAACTTCAGGTATGCTTCACGAACTAAAAGCGCATATTAAGGGTAGCTGATACATTTACTAATTAATGATGAAATTTATCTTACTCTAAAAGTTTGAATACCTCTGTTAAATATGATATATCCAAACTTTCAAAGCAACACAGATTGTTTCAAAAGCGATCGGAGTTTCTTGTGAAACAGAACTCTAACGAAGAGTATTTTGTTTACAGATATTCTTAAACATGTGATGTTAGCAGTCATGAGAATTATAACATGCACCTGCCATTGATTTTTTACGACACTACCAATTTTAAGCTTAACTTTCTGCAAATCTTCTTTACCCATTCACCGCCAACTATTACAGTATAAAAATGTATAAACAATAAAACTTTCATCTAAAAGTAATATTTTATACCGTCCAGAAGAAATTTGCATACTTTATATGATAAAGGCAAAAGAGTTGTACTTTTAGTTTCAACTTTTTATCAAATTATGAAACAATGAATAACGGCAAGCGATAAATGCAATAATAACGTAAGCAAAATGTCAATTCTAAGAATACCAATTAAATTCTCTTTTGAAGAGTAACTCAAGAAATATAAAGAATTCGAAAAAGTGACGAGATGAGAATGTCACTGCTTCTGTGATAATGTGCAGAGTTGACAGTGTAAAGCGTTTTATCCGAATCATACTTCCTTGTTAAGCCCAAATCAATGTAGTTTCGTTTTTTCTTCTGCTCGTTTTATTTGTGCCATGGAATGATATCGTAGTAAAAGAGTGGTGATCGTCCAAGATGAGATTAGCGATATGCCAACCCAATGGCTTACATTCCAGTGTTCTGAATAGGCATATTGGGACCATACTTGTGAAGCCAGAGTTAACGCACAAATCTGTAGTTCCGTGTTTGTAAATCAAGAAATAAAATCGTGAACAACAATCAGTTCCATACTAAGGTCAGAGGTCTTTGGCTACTTCTTTTAAATCATTAACAAGATATTAATTTCCAAAAAAAAAGAAAAACGTTCATGGAATTGATATTTACCTGCTCGCGTTACTTTAAAATGACCATTAATTAAATAAGCAAACCGAAAGTAGCAATAGAATGGTGAATGATATAATTTTCAAACGTACTAAAGTTCGAGAATCGACAGCTATCAAACGATCTGTCGGTTTTTTCCAATGTAAAGCATGACTGCTGACCAAATAAAAGGTCAGGAAGTCAGTACCCATAAGTCGAGCACAGAATTCATGCGATTTACCCAAATGTACACGAACCTGAGAGCATTGTTAAAACTTTCTTGCTAAAATCCAACTTAAATTTAATTTTTCAAAATTAAATTAATTGACAACGACTTGAAACAAATTCTCAAATAGCATTTATAAGAATTTTTTTTGAGTACTAGTTCATGCTAATTACAAAAAACAAAGCATTTTAAAAGCAAGTTTCTTTAAAAACTTAAATTAATCCGAAATATTTTTTCATAATTTTATGTAGTGAAAAGTATAACTTTTATAAAACAAAAGTTTCCACATCGAAAAAACTATTAGACTGGAACTGATAAAAAACAGTGGAATGTAAGGAAAATCTTTCATCCAGAAAGTTTAGAATAAAGATCACTACATAACTTAGTTTGAATGTGCAATTGATACCTGTCGATGTAACAACCATTCCGGAAATGCAAGCCATGCAGCACCAATAATCACAGATACAAGGCTATCCATCTGAAACAGAATATTTTCCGTAACACTCGTGATAATCGTTTCCCCTAGTGTCCATCGATGAGCTGTTTGCAGGCAAAAATTCACTGCTAACCAACCGTAGCACCAATATTTGGCAATTTCCAAGTACTAGAAAATAAAAAAATACGCAATAAAAAAATAAAAATAAAAAAGAACTTCATGAGTGCTAAGTTTTTTGATATGTAAATCCAAGAATTTCCATCACAAGTTTGAAACATCCAAATGAAGAGAGAAGGTTAATAAGGCCCTCTGAATACTACTCACTCTAAACAATACTTCTGTTCGAATTTATTTTCCCCCTGACATTTCATCTCTTGATTATTAAATTTAATGAAGTTTCAATCAGAAATTTAAATCACTCACGTTAGGATGAATCAAATTTGGTGTTTCTGCTGAACAGTGTACCAAAACCAGAAGCACTGATATCAATTCCTAAAAAGATTTCACCAAAATTTATGCATCTGTTGTGAAATTTAATAAACTCAGATTCTTCAAAATTAAACAAATCTAAAGAATGAAATTTCTTAATGCATATTCGAGAGATTAAATATGAAAATTGTATGTATCACAACTGTTAAATGAATTAATTTCGCTTTTAATGATCTCAGTAGTTCTCATTAGTTTTAGTAAAATATTCCTATAAGTTAAAGTATCTTAAAGAATGACTTCTTAAGGAATGAAAAAAAAAAAAAAGACATTAAAATGGTACTAGAATTCGAACGAGGTGACAAGTGGAGAGTGCTTCCACTGAAGAATTTCTCAAGCGGTACATTAGGAAAGCAGCGCCAATGCGTTGGCATCCAATACATCTAAGCAGATGCCAATGGACGCCATCTGTTTCTTGTATCTATAAATTAATCAACTGAGAGGACAAGAGAATTGAAATTGTCAATATTTACATTTTTCTTTAATAACAAATTCATAATGCCATAATGAACCGTAAGAGCAATCGGAGTGATTTGTTAGAAAATAGAGTCAGAAGAGAGGAATTTAGTAAATTTTCAACAATATTTCATTTTACAGCGTGTATAATAAAATGTGCAGCAATGATAAGAAACTTTTACAATGCATAATTAACTAATTTGTTTACTGAAACTGTTTTACTGAAACAGGAATGAACTTTTGTCATTTCAACATTGAGCGATTTAATAATTGTAATCATTAGGACTTGTGGGTTTGATTAATTTTGAAAAAGGAAGGCAAAGGATTCATTAAACAATCAAATTCGCTTCATTTTTTCTTTACTTCGAAATATCTCTAAAGAATTTTGAATCATTAAAATTGCAAAACCATTTTAGAAAACATACATGATCAAAATTACTTCTATTGTTAGAGAAAAATGTTGCTTTCATAGTGCATTTAATGTTTCGAGAGGTCATAGTTCAACTATTAACTCGGTAAAGGCAGAAAGACTTTCAACATTTAATAGACATTTTACCCAAAATGGACAGAGTTTCCGGTTTAGTTTTAACTGAATTGCTGAATGGAAATATGCGCAACTTTGCGGAAAAGTTGCTCTCTTGCTCTAGCTGCTCTACGGGTTGCACTCAAAATTTTTAGGAGGAAGTTAAAAATGATTGAAGAAAAATTCATTTATGACTAATTAGAGGAAAAACAAACTTACAAAAACAGAGTAAGCGATGAGAGAAGGTGTAAAAAACAGTAAAGCACCAATGAGGAGCGATATGGTAGCATCAATAAGTAGCAAACTGCGCTGTAATTCCATGATGAATTGCAACTGCCACTTACTAATAAACTGCAGAGTTTGCAAGGTTGCTGCTGATGCAGTAACATCGGAAACACGCTCCGCCCGTGTACAGGCATGTACTGTTTCCTCGGAATTTGACCGGTCGTTAGGAGAAGTGGGAAAGGGCAAAGTTTGTCACTCAATTGTCTCTTTTCCTCTGCAATTCTTCCCCAAGCAGCTCGTAGAGAAACACTTCTGGAAAGAGGAAATTCAGAGTAAATTGCGATGATGTGAAGTTTTCCGATAGCCTGAGGAAACCGGAATCGCCTGTTTCAGAAGTGAAATGAGTTCACAGGAGATGATTGCCTTATTGATTAGAAGGGAAGGGTGACAAATTCCATCTATAGGTGTGAGAGAATTTCGGCCATCCTTCCGAACATACATCCAATATCATTCACAAATTATTCATCTGATATCTTCATTGTTCAGTTCAATAACAGAGACATGTGCTGACCTCAAAAGAGAGGGAAGGACAAATTGATTGAACTGAGATAGAGTGAAGCATTTGATATCAGCTGAAAATAATATTGAAAAAACTATTTGCCTTATTTTTTAACAGCAGGATTATCATAGGGATTTAAAACGAGTACAGTTGTAATACATAAAAAGTATGTTTCATGAAAATATGCAACTTTACAACATGACATTTTGTGTTTCATTTTCTACCTATTATGCAAGATTTTTTGACGCATTTTATCACTAAGATCAAACTGCGCCTTACATTTTGAGTGTAGATATAATCTCAGGGGCAATTTGATTTTTGTTAAACAAGATTGTAGAGACATCAACAAGTTTTGCATATTGAGGGGGGAAAAAGTATCTATCTGTAAGAGGTGAAATGTAATTTTACGAAATTAATAAAATGAATATTACGGACATTTTTGTCCTCCTTGAACAGATTAAAAGTTGTGCTAGTGTGTATTTCAGATAGTTTATCATACTATGTTCATGTAATATGGTTTAACAAGCAGTCCTCTTCATTTTTTCCAATACTTTATCCTGACCTCTCTCCTATTTAATTTAATTTGAAAAGTTGCGAAAGTTGAATATTTTCAACTTTGTGATCAAAATGTCTTGATATGAATTCGATTTGGATAGTTGATGATAGAATAGGTGATATGCCAACCAATTATCACCATCAAATTGACTACTGTTAATGGTACTTGTTATATGCAATCTCATTTTATATTTCAACATCTTATAATAAAGATTTCTTTCTCTGTTTCCACATGATGATTGGTGGTGAACAATGGACAACATGGCGACCTATAAAATAAAATCCAATGAGTTTAATCAACTCGGCTCCGAAAAGTTATGACAGTGAAGAGATACTTCTTTCTCTCTAATCTTCTCCCTCAAATGTAAATGTCGGCATTTGTTGCAGAGCATTGCTCTGAAACTATTATACATTAATGCTTCTTTTTATTTAATCCATTTCATTTTTATTCGAATCATTTTTACAGGCCAGAACATTCAACTGCCCAGAACTAATTTGTCCAATCTCTCACCAGTAGATAACTTAGCCAACCATTTGTTTAATAGCACAAGAGTGAAGCAGCCGGTAAGATGATTGAACCAAACACAGTTTTTGCAACGGAAGATGGGAAAAAGTTTCAAATTAATCAATGAACATTTTAATTATCCAAGCTTATTAGAAAAAGAAGTGAATCAAAAAAGATACAAAATAAGGATTGTATATTAATGCAAGGTGATAAAACGATTAGTTTCTTTGATAACATTTATCCGTCGTATAAAGGTGGTATTTTGGAAGTTATAAGAAATGATAAAAAAGGTTATTTTGACATATGTATATGCATGTGTGTATGTATGTATGTGTGTGTGTGTGTGTGTATGTGTGTGTGTGTGTGTTTATTTCAGAAACTATTATTTTTTGAATTTGGAATATGAAGGCGCAGGGTATAACTTACTGAATTATTTATATAATTAGCTTCTGAATATGTACCAATCACCAAAAGAAGAGCACACTTCCTATCCATTAGATCTGCTTTATTCATTGCTTAATTAATGCAATGAACTGAATTATTGCATGAAATATACCACTAGACTTTCAAAGCTCTTCAAAAAATTGATTAATAAGGTTTTAGACCACAGAAATATATACAGAGGGATAGCTCAAAAGTCTTCTATCAATTCTTTTATAAATGGAAAGATGATGTTAGGAAGTGATGATAAATCTTTTCAGGGATTGATTCAGGTTCATTGTCGCCTAAAATTGTATTAATCTATCCACCATTACTGACCATTATTTGAAGTTAAACATTAAATTTATTATTATTTGAAGTTAGACCCATTACTGGGTCTAACTTCAAATAATAATAAATTTAATGAAAATTAGCATCTGGCAATGATAAATGTAAATCACGCTGTATTACATAAAAATTCATTAACATTCAAGAAATGATCATTATTTAATATTGTCAGTTTGAACGTCAGGCTCTTCCCAACTCTAATCATTTTATCTTAAGCGCTGATATTAATGGACGCCATGGAAGCGGGGTTGGTAATTGGCTGAATCTCCTCTCTCTCTTGATTGAAAATCGAAATATTTAAAATATTCAAAATACACTCACATTCTCCTCTTTAGCATATTTTCTCTCGTTGACATTAGAATTACAAGACTATAGTCGCATATAGCAAGAAAGTAGTTCAAAATAACAGATTACGAAACAAAAATAAAAAAATAACTTCCATGATCTGATGAACTAAAGATAAGCTATCACTTGGTGTTAATATGCTAGCTATCTCATTGAACTTTTAGAGTAATTTTTTAACTGGAAAAAATTGGAGATTAAATTTCTGAATTTCGAAATTTGCAATACTCACCAAGTTGTAAGGATGCAAATCCAATATCCGTTAGAGTAAACATGTGAATAGATGGATAAATTTGCAAACTGCAAGAGATTGGAGATTTAATTTTTGAATTTCGAAAGTTTACCAAACTTTTTTTGGTAACATTTTACAATTTCTAGAAATAAGCAAATGGTTAATATGGATATCGAGGCAATAGCTCGGGTTGAAGCTGCAACAAAAGTAATCAATGTTACAAAACATAAAGGATACGATGATATCGTCATTTCAGAGTATAATCATTTTTGCTTTTATCATACCAAAAATATGCCTAATCACCATTAATTCGGGAAACATTAAAACAAAATAATTTTAAACAAAACTTTTCAGAAGCAGATCGTTGAGTGGCAGTAAGGTAAGTGCTAACAATATTACTGCCCCCCGAGAGCTCGTCAATCTTCTGGAACTCCTCAGTTGTCGAGAAATTCCTTTTTTTATAACAAGTGTCGTGGAACTTACGAATTTATTCCATGCTTTCACCTTTGTAGATAATCAGAATGTGGAGAAACTGTGGAATTGGCTGGATTTTCTCGCCACATCCACTAATCAGCTTCTTTAGATAGAAAAGTCACAACAACTAAAGGAAAAAAAGCCAAAACAGTGGAAAGAAAAAGTAGAAACAGCAAAGGAACTTCCCACAACGGAAGTAAACAAAAGAAGTGCAGGTTAATTGGAATTCCTCAGTTTCAAAATTATAAAATTACCTTGCATGAAGCTTCACATTTACTTAATTACTTACCCATCCAACTTTTCCTTCATTTATTTTTAAACCTTTGTTTCTTTCTACCTTCTTTGAGCGTGATTGTACATAACATTGATTCTAAAGCTTTCAGATCGTTTCACTGAAAGAAAGTCAAACGAAGTCATAGCACCACAACGTAAGATTAATGGCGAATTAATTAGAATACTTCAACATAGCGCATACCAAGCGCCAGTAGTAGTCTGATCAGGCATTAAGCCATCGCGGCAAACATAAAAGGAAACATTTATAGTTGTGTTTTTGCAGAATTCACATTTCATATATCATTCGTAAATCACTCCTTAGTTTATCTGTTATCTTTTATCAGACTCATGGGCTTTGTGTCATGTCGGTGTGAGTGACAATTGTGGGGATTAGATAACATGAAATTTATTTGAGTTTCGATTTTGTGGTTATTTAAATTTATTCTTGCTAAAGCAATCGTTGAGAGACTTCTAGGGTAATTTTGTGACTAGTAGATTTAATCATTCCCACATCTGATATAAAAAGAAAATCCAGAAATTCGGACAAACTTGAAGATAAATCTCTGGGGATTGTTTTGTTTAGTTCCGGTTCAATTTCCTTCATTCCTCACAACCTAGATAAAATGATATCAGATATTTCTAACATTGATATTATAGAAGTGTTCAGTTCAGTTTCATTTCTCTGATTATAACTGTAGGCGTAGAAGTTACGATCGGTAAAGATCACACATCAACAAATAACTGAACTGAATATATCAATAGGTACAAAATCAAAGGAGCAAAATCAAAAAAGAAAAGGATGCTGTGGTTGCTGTTCCATTTCATGAAGTATTATTTATGAATAAACAAGCAAATTTTGTTGTCCTTATTCACCACTAAGTATGACTAATTTAAAAATCTGCGCATTTATTTGAAATCAGTAACTTCCTGTATCCAACAATCATTGCTTAAAAGAATCAGGAAAACAGATATTCAAAAAATAGACCACTGGATGAGATTAACCAAATGTTGAATCATACCGCACAACAACAATGTATATTGCATGCATTCAATGCATGCAACGTTCAATGCTGCAAACATAACACGCTGCAATAATTGCAGTTCTGCATAACAAAAGTTTTGCAGTTGAAGGAAGAAAATTAAACGAAGAGTATCTTATCATCGTATCGTTGTAAACTCATTTGCAGAATGGTTGAAACTTTTGAATTGTTTCATCATCTGGCAATGGAAAAGAAGAAAATTTTTTTGAATTTGAATAAATTTACTGCATATAAAATTATAGTTAAATATTGGAATTGAAATTTGAATTAAATTCCATAATCTAACCCTAGGAAAAGTCTTGCATGCAAGATAATATGTATAAAAAGCCTGTACATATTATCCTGAATGCGTGAGTTTTGTCCAAAATAATCCCAATAGCGTAACACGTATTTGTTGGCTCACTATGCTCATGGCCTCGTGGCCTTGGAGCCTATAGTTATGATTTTGCAACAATCCGGTGAGAAACACAAAAGTTATGCCATCCATCGAGAAAATGTGATAAGAACAGAGAAAAATTTCAATTTTTTTGGATATTAAAAGGTGGATAATTCGATTACACGATTCAGTGAAGTTACGAAATACAAAGTTTCATTAACAGAATGGAAAGATTACAGGTCAAAGAACTTAGCACCAAATGTGAAAACAAAGATAGCAGAACATTTCTTTTAAATCTATCTGATGACCTAAAAAAAAAGCAGTGATATACATTTTTACTTCAAATGGGGGAAACATTCAATGAAGATGGAAACTATCATTTGTACAGTTTTACTGAAAAAACTTTAATTACATGAATTGAAGAAATTCAAAGTAATTCTTCAACGAGAAACTCGCAACTTCTCTTCCCATTAAATCAGTCATAGTTTAATTTCTCATTGTTTATAAGTTAGGGCACTCAGTAAATTTATAAAGGATCTCTAGAAAGACTGAAAAATAATCGTTTAAATGGGATATGGAATTGAAAGTTCTCGAATTTTTAGAATCTATCAAAATTCAACCAAAAAATGTATTACGAAAATTCTGCTTTTCTTTTTCTCAGAAATGAAATGACAAGTTCCTTCTTATTCCAATGCATGATCGATAGCTTTTTGAATGTTGTTGTAAGCATCAGCGCCAAGGTAATCTGGATGTCCCACTTCCCAAGCCCGCATACGTTCTTCCTCGGTTGGTGGTGACGATTGATGAAACTCAACGTTTGGTATCTTAAATGCATAGCACTAACTTTTTGAGACTTCAAAAACGTTAAATTCAGAAATTTCAACAAAATTAATTTCATGAATTAGCATTAAGAAACATTTTTAAGTTTCTTTACAATTGTGTGATGAGTCAACTTTGCTATAAAATTAGCTCACACGCAAACCACAGCTTTCTGGAAATTTTCAAGTTTTCAAAATGAAAGGTTGAAAATTTTGGAATTTTATCTGAAGCCACTTTACTAACCTTGCTTCATTTCCTCCACAACCTATTTGCTTTCTCCGCCAAATGATCCTAATGCCTTCCGAAAAACCCATCACTTGTGATTGACTTACTACAAGCCGTTCTTGCCTTGACCATCATTATACTTTTCAGAAAGGATAATTAAATATCAAAGTATGGGGATATAATTCTGACTTTAAATTGTTATTCTTGTGGTTGTAATTGAAAAAATAAATGCTCATTCACAATTGTCTTTCCATTTTTTTTCCAGGAATTGCATTTCTAAGTCTCGAGATTTACCTTGACAAATAAACGTATGTGAGTGGAAATGAAGCAAGTTAAAACAATGTTAAACTTTTAAATATCGTAGAAATTTTTCATGGCACAAATTTGCATACATAATAAATTCGAGATTACCAATGCCAATGGGAAAGTATATTCTTTTTGCTTGCTATCAGATGAGTAGATAACTATGTCATTCATGAATCACGCAAATAGTCAATGTTTTTCACTGTCAACAAAATTTTTGCAGTTACTGTTAAAGCACAAATGTGATGAAAAATGCCAACCTGAGAATATGCAACACTCATATCAGGTAACTGCATGCTTGATCCCTTAATGGTAAGTGTCATTAGCATAATGATTAAGCAACAACTAAACAGAAATAAAAACTGTTTCCTATTAAATTTTGTACTTCCAATCAACTTCATCTTCGAATCATCCAAAGAATTTCAAGAACTTTTTAAAAGTAAATTTCCGGAGGATGTGTTCTACTCTTTTTCCACCAGAGAATTCACTTAATTAGTTCTAAAAATCCTGCTAATATTTCCGTTTGTGCGATTAAACCAAACTTATGAAAAAAAAAGTAAATCAATTAGTAATCCAGCAAAAATAGATACTAATTCGAAACTATTCTGTAGAAATGGTTATGAACATGCAGAAAAGAAGTATTTCAGGTTATAATTAATAGAATCAGTGTTAGGTGATCTGATTAATCTCTGATAAAGGTAAAACTTCAAGGTCTTATTTTAAGCGGAAAATGAACCAATTATCTGTTGAGTTATAGTTCATCACATTGAAGTTTAGTTGAGATATTTTGAAATTATAAGTAAACGGGGCAGAATATATACGCAATTTAAAACTAACTTCAGTTATTAAATGTGTCAAATTTCGTGATAGTAATGATTTTGATAACTTTAGGGTCCTTTTGGAACAACCAAAAGAATTCTAGTCTAATGACCGAAAGAAAGATCTATGACTATGCGAATCATTTAGCCAGCATTTCTAACAACTGTATCCCTGCTATGGATCAATTTTAGTAAATTACAAATTATGTACGTTTCTGCGAATTTAGGAGAAAATTTCGAATGATACGTCATATCTGAACTTTAAACTTATGTGCAGCACTGCTTCGAATGAAACAGAGTAGACCAATGGCATGGTCCTGCAACACATACTGCTCTAAAGGAAAATCTTATTTGAACAATAAGATTGAGGAGTTTGAAAATAAAATTTCAAATCAAAACTCAATAGTCAAGTGTAGTGCACTCACAAGTGAAAAAAATGTCATCTGTTTGGCGAGATGAGTGGGTAGATGGCGCAATGGTCTCCACGCCCCATAAATTGGCGGTACACAACGGAAAACTCGCATGCAGAGAGGATTAGGTAGGTTGCTATGTGATGGAGCTGTTGACATACTTCCTCGGCTAATATCCTGTTCACAAGTAAAGGGAATGGTGACAGAAACAGCAGTAGAAGTAGTAGTAGCAGTAGTAGTAGTTGTGGAAATAGTAGTTGATGACAATGGTGTAGTGGTGATTATTTCTGTAGTGCGTTGAGGTGATGGTGAAGAACGTGGCGAACTCACGTGTGATGTGACGAGATTCGAGCTCAGTCGACTTTTAAACAACGACCACCAGTGGGCAAGATGCTCTGAGAAATGGACACTCGCCGACGTCTGTTGCCATGGTTTCACTGGACCCAGAAAGTGTACAATTTTCACCTAAATTAAACAAACGAAACAAAGGAAATGAAATAAAACAATATGTGTCTTTAATTTATTGAATGGTCAGTCTAATTAACAGTAGTGCTCCTTGAACTAAGATACGAAAATTTAGATACATCTAGAAGATTGCCTAAGTTTGAATGAAATTAGTCATTGACATCATGACAGTTTGTCTGGACCCAGGAAGTGTACATTTACTTCTAGGACAAACGAAACTTCTAGGACCCAAGTTTTGCTGTAATCCCGAAATGCCATGACTTTTTTCAAACAATGAAACAGTACCAGTGACCCTTGAATGAATTCTTAATATCTCAGGGATCTCTCTGTAAATAATGTTTATAACCCGAGAATTTCTATTTAAAACACCAAGTCTACTTGAAGACCCCCGTTAGGGAACTATAAGAAACGCACCTGGGCACCATACTTTTTGAAAGCAGCCGCATAAGTGTAAATTGCTCCAGCGGTCATATTGTAAATGAAAGATAATCGAAAAGCTGGAGGTTTATCTCGCCAACCTTTGAAGAACTGATTCAGTAGACCTTGGTCACCACCTGAAATACTTAGACAACAAGTGCTTTTTGTATATTTTGTTATACACTATCCTAACTTCTCTGCTAGGATATTAAAACAAAATCCTGTATATACAAGAAAGATCAGAGTTGAGTTAGTGAATTCGATAGGATGAAAGATAATCCAATGGAGGATGTATAACTCTACTGGTCTTATGAGGTTTTCCAACTTAATAAATTTGGCCTTTTCGACATCCTTTCAGATATCTTGACAAAAAAAAAAGGAATGGATAAACAAATCGTATACCGTCAAAGGAGCCATGTTCCAGGGCGAAGTTCAAAATGTCCAAATATGTCTGTTCAGATGGCCTGTAAACGAAAACACCCGAATTGAAGCAATCCGGCCAACCAATGTCTGCTACAGCAGACAGTTCCTCGTGATCGAATAATTCATCAGCATTTTGCAAAACCTGAATGTAACAAAAGACCGTGCTTGATAGATAAAATAATGACATAAAAGCCATGCATATAATTATTGTAACTAACAAGGCAATCAGCATCGAGGAAGACACATTTGGTGTACTGTGTAAGCCTCCAGCAGTGTATCTTAGTGAAAGTTACGCCCAGATCAGGTCTACCAATCAAGCGCAAATTGACGGAATCATTGCTGTCCAGAACGTTCACCACATTGATACTATCAAATGTCGCAGCAAGTTCATCCCTTTAAATTGAATCATTTCTTGTTCAATCTCATAAATTTCTTTTCTGTTTATATTCTTATAAACTGGCTGACAAAAAAGTTTCAAGTGCAAAAGTTATCATCAATACTAAGTCTGAAGCTATGGCAGACCTAAGTTGTTGTGATACACCAGTTGTAATCATGCAATGCAGCTTTTTAGTAGTTTGTTGAACCTTCAACGAATGAGCCAAAACAAGTGCCCCAATAGCATAACCATCCGACGTTACCAATGTCACCCATGCTTCTGTCATTATTCCTGCAAATTACAAAATGCAGCTCTGCCCGAATGCGTATACAACTAATGCAATAGCATGCATACATGACGTGTAAATTGTAACTACTAAAACACGACATATTTTACATCTGCATATCAGGTAGTCCGATCTGTATTCCTGAATTCTTCGCTGAGTAAACAAACATGAGATTATCCATTCTATCTTACTTATACAGTTTACCGTTTACAAATATTATTCAATACAATACATTTCAATATATTTCAATATTTACAAATATTATTTAAATTTCGAAATGATTCGTTCTTTTAAAATATAATAATGGAAAGGAAGGAATGTTAATTTCTTCAAACAAATGAATGAGACAATGTGATAGGGACAATTTACATCAACGTCTAAATGAACTTTGTGTTCTTCTGTTTCACATCTGATAAAGAAAAAAATTGAACATTTCATGGACTTTTACCGAACCTTACCTTCCAATTCAAGTTAAATTAATTTAATTGCTGAGTCAGATGAATGAATCAAATTCAATGTAAAAGTATATTGACGATACAAGCCGAAAGGTCGATTTAATTAAGCATAGGAATTTATTTCTTTAAATCAAAACCAAAACCAAAAGAGCAATTTGAGCCTTGAGAAAGGAAAGATGAATTGGATAAGAGTGGGATAAGAGCGGAATTTAAATGCATCTCTTCTGTAACGTCGAAATATTCTTCAAGCTAAAGAGCTAATAGCAATTAACATCAATAGCGGAAGTAATTCATATCGTTGATTTGTGGGATACCATAGCCTCATTCATTTAATTTAGCGAATCCTTGTTATAGTAATCTGTCCAATATCCTTTTGTTCTTTTTGATTTAGCATGAAAAAGTGCTTTTGAAAATCAAAAATTTCGCTTAGCAATTGGTGATGATATCTGCGCAGAATAAAAAAAATTATATTTTTCTGTTTGTGATCATATTTCATCTGTCTAGATAGATAGATAGATAGATAGAGAGAGAGAGAGAGAGAGAGAGAGAGAGAGGAGGAGGAGAGAGAGAGATA